CAAGCAAGGATGGAGTACCAAAAATAACTATGAGAAAGGAGAAAGATCTACAAGAGGACGTGGTCAAGGGCACTCAAATTCGAGGTATGATAAATCTCAAATTAAGTGCTATAATTGTAACAAGTTCGGACATTATGCGAAAGAATGTAGAGCACCTAAGTACAAAGTGAATGAAAGAGTCAACTACATTGAAGAAAAAAGTGAAGAAGATGGCACTCTACTTCTAACTTACAAAGATAATGAAAGAGGTGAAGATAGTACATGGTACCTGGACACCGGTGCAAGCAACCATATGTGTGGGAGACGAAGCATGTTCGTAGAGCTTGATGAATCAGTAAGTGACAATGTGTCTTTTGGAGATGAGTCCAAGATAGAGGTGAAAGGCAAAGGTAACATTCTCATCCGTCAGAAAAATGGGAAGCATCAATTTATTTCTAATGTTTACTTTGTATCGAATATGAAAAACAACATCTTGAGTTTAGGGCAACTCTTGGAGAAAGGATATGATATTCACTTGAAAGAAAATACTCTCTTCTTAAAAGTCAATATTGGTAACTTGATTGCTAAGGTGCCAATGTCTAAAAATAGAATGTTCTCACTCAACATTCAAAATGATATTGCCAAATGTCTGAAGACCTGTTATAAAGATGCTTCTTGGCTCTGGCATCTTCGATTTGGGCATCTCAACTTTGGAGGACTCGATTTGCTTTCAAAGAAAGAGATGGTGAGAGGACTACCTTGCATCAACCACCCTGATCAATTATGTGAAGGATGTTTACTCGGAAAGCACTTTAGAAAAAGCTTTCCAAGGGAGTCAAGTTCAAGAGCCCAAAAGCCTCTTGAGCTCATACATACAGATGTCTGTGGTCCAATAAAGCCAAACTCACTCGGTAAGAGCAACTATTTTCTTCTCTTCATAGATGATTTTTCACGAAAAACATGGGTGTATTTCTTAAAACAAAAATCAGAGGTTTTTGGAATATTCAAGAAGTTTAAAGCAGATGTAGAGAAAGAGAGTGGTCTCAAGATCAAAGCTATGCGATCTGATCGAGGAGGAGAATTCACTTCAAAAGAATTTCAAGAATTCTGTGAAGCCAACGGAATACGTCGACTTCTAACTGTTCCAAGATCCCCCCAACAAAATGGAGTAGCACAAATGAAGAATAGAATCATCCTCAACATGACAAGGAGCATGTTAAAAAGCAAGAAATTGCCGAAGGAGTTTTGGGTAGAAGCGGTTGCATGTGTTGTTTATTTGGCTAACCGATCACCAGCAAGAAGTGTGTTGGGAAAGACACCACAAGAAGCATGGAGTGGAAGGAAGCCCGACATCTCTCATCTACGAGTTTTTGGATCCATAACTCATGTACACATACCTAACGAGTAAAGGAGTAAGCTAGATGACAAGAGCGATAAGTTCATTTTCATTGGTTACGACAACAACTCAAA